AGCTTTTTCTTGTCTGGGAAGCTCTTTATGTGTCCTTTGATTCTCAATGGTAGCTTTGCTGAGTAGAGTATTTTTGGTCGTGGGTTCTTGCTTTGCATCACATTGAATATTTTGTGCTAGTCCCTTCTGGTCTGCAAAATTTCTGTTGAGAAATCAGCTGACAGTCTTATGGAACTCCCTGGTAGATAGCTAACTGATTTTCTCTCTCTCTTTTTTTTTTTTTTTTAAATATATTTTATTGATTTTTTACAGAGAGGAAGGGAGAGAGATAGAGAGTCAGAAACATCTATGAGAGAGAAACATCGACCAGCCGCCTCCTGCACATCCCCCACCGGGGATGTGCCCGCAACCCAGGTACATGCCCGTGACCGGAATCGAACCTGGGACCTTTCAGTCCGCAGGCCGACGCTCTATCCACTGAGCCAAACCGGTTTCGGCTAACTGATTTTCTCTTGATGCTTTTATGGTTCTCTCTTTAACCTCTGCCATTTTAATTATGATGTGTCTTGGTGTAGGTCTCTTTGGGTTCATAGAGTTTGGGTGGGGTCTCAGGAAATCAGTAGGGGGTGGGGCAGGGCAAAGAGCGTTTAGCCATGTTCATGGAGACTCAGATATGGCACCTGCCTGCCAGTTCCTTGGGGTGAAGGCTCAGCAAAGGAACAATGGCTTGTGCCAACACTTCTGTCTGGGAGAAAGTTGCCCCTCCAGACCTTGTCTCAAAGCCAGACAGTTCAGTTTCTTCCCATATGTCCCTGGCACCTTTGGAGCTGCTGTCCCCAGTGCTGGGGCTCAGAGTGAGTCTAAGTAAGTCCACGCACAGGCCCTTTAAGAGGAACACCTGGGACTCCAGCAGCTATCCGTCTTACTCAGCCACAGTCTTTGCTGGTTTTTCACAGCCAGAAGTTAAGGGGACTTCTCTTCCTAGCACTGGAACCCTTGGCTGGGAAGCCCAGTGTGGGTCTGGGACCCCTCACTCCTCTGGGGGAACCTCTGGAGTTGAGCTGAGACCCAGAGAGCATTAAAAAAAAAAGACTTTTTCCTGAGGTCTGACAGTATGTTAGTGGCAGAACTCCTGGTTCAAGTTTTTTTTACACTTTAGGGGGGGTACCTCTTCTTTTCTCCACTTTAGTCAGAAAAGATCACTTGCTCTGGATTCTCTTCCATTGTGGGCAGGTGGGGTGGGAGGTGGGAGATAAGAAAAAGATGGGGCTTCTAGAAATGGACGTCTTCTGCAGCTTGTTTCTTCCTCCGCCTTTACCTGGAGTGTTCTGAACTCCAACATGAAGTGACTTGAGTGTGGAAGCTGGTCAGTGATGGCATTCAGATGATCTGCTTTTCCAACCTGGTGACCTGGTTGGCTCTCACCAAGCTGCTGCACTCTTCAGGCCCAGACCCAATGATTGCTTGGTCCCACCCCTTCCTGCCATCAGCCTGTTTACCAGGTTGGCTTTTGGGTGAAGAGACAGTATAGGGCAGAAAAAAAACTTTAAAATCCCTCTGGCTTTTTTCCTGAACAATCCTGAGGATGCTACCTCAGCAATTATAGGGGAAAAAACAACTATTTCCTGCTTCTCAGTATAGACAATGGGCACTAGATTTGATTTCTAGGACCTCGGATATTATGATTAGTTCGGATTTAAACTTTTATCCTACCCTCTCATTTTTCACCTTTACACTTTGTTCTGTGCTTATATCTGGATGCCTCAAGAGGTTAATTAGTAGGCGAGGGGTGGCCAGTCCAACAGAATTGCAGGTAATGGTTTCTCTGTGATCCCTAGTCATTCTGGTTCTCTCTGAGATCAGATTTTCTGTTACCAGCAAGTAAAGTTATCATTGAGGACACTCAGCTGAAGGGCCTAAGGGTGGTGGTTCTAGAGACTGCAGATGACCCAGAGTTATTTCAGTTCAGATAATATCTATTGATTCATCTTCAAGTTTCAGTGACTCTTTTCTCTATCAATTACATTCTGTTCTTAAGCTCATTCAGTGAATTTTTTAAATTTCAGGTACTGCATTTCTGTTCTATAATTGCCACTTTAAAAATTTTTTAATTTCTTTGCTGAGTTATAATAGCTGCTTTAGTATCCTTGTCTGATAATTCCAACATCTGGGTCATCTTGGACTTGCCCTCTGCTGATTGTCTTTTCTCCTGCAGAGGGGTTTAATTGCTAGTTCTTTATGTAATTTGGGTTTCTATCTGAACGTAAATGAATGTGAATGTTATATTATGGAGACTCTGGTTTCTGTTGATTTTAGTAGGCAGTTAACTTGGTTATAATTGCAAACCCTGTCTTACCTGTGGGGGGTGGCAGTTCAAATCTCAGTCTAGTTCTTTTATCCTTTGCTGAAGTCCTTGGATTCTGCCCTGTGCGTATATGGTTCAGGGGTCAGCTAGAAATTCGGGCAGAATTTATACATAGAACCTAGATTCTCCTTTTGTGGCTCTCCTATCATCTCTGTCTGTTCTGGGCTCTCTCTATCTTTGGTTCCTCTGGACAGCCTAGGTTTTTATTTTTCTTAAATTTTTATTTGTTGATTGATTTTAGAGAGAGAGGAAGAGGAGGGGGGGAGAGAAACATCAACCTATTGCTGCACCTATTCATGCATTCACCAGTTGACCCCTGTATGTGCCCCGACTGGGGATTGAACCAGCAACCTAGGGTTTGTTTTTATTAAATTGGAACTTCAGATCGTTGTTTAAAATTTTTTATCCAGAGTTTATAGTTGCTAAGTGTTTTGGGAGCAAAAGTGATACGTATTTAAGAAAGCTTTAATCTTCAGCAGTCAAATGATGGACTGATGCATTTCTTCAGTGTGGTTTGTTAATTATCTCAGGTGGACTCAATCACATTCACTTTAACTTGCTTTGCAACCTTGGGCAAGTAAGTCTTTTCTCTTTTCCTCTCTGGGACTCACTTTCTTCTCTGGAAAATGAGGCATTGGGCTCTCCTTATCTGTAAGGGTCCTTTCATCTCTTCTCCACAGATAGAAACATGCACACCACTCTCACCGCCAACAGGAACAAGCACAGTTGCCTGAGGGAAGTGATGTGGGTGGATCTCTCTGGGTGGAAAGCTCTCTGAAGGGGCAGCACTAAAGTGTTTGAGGGTGTTTACAGTCATCCTCTTGTTTCTGGGGACAAGGCCAGCACGCTGAGGATGCAAGAAGTAAAAGTCATTCAGAAGCAAAGGAAAGAAATCATTTGCTGCTTGTTTCCGCCCCTGAGAAATAGGAGAGAATGTAGACTGTTGAAAACAAATTAGGATCACCCGGAGTTCCTGTTGGGTTTTTGGCAGTGCATTTTATCCTGTTTGAGGGGGATAGACCCCTGGATCTTAGTAATATGCCAGCAAATTTAGCAGTAGGTGGTGGGGGCAGTAGCTGTCAGTAGGGGTGCTGCTTTCACTGTTAGGGCTGCAGAGACCTTAATGAAGATACACACAAATCTGGCCACTTCTTAGAGTTCAGAATGTGTATGTGGGAGAAGTTAGTCAATGCGGAGTAAATTATGTGTGTGTGCGTTTAAGGCTGGTGGAGAGGGGGAAAGAGGTGATGGGTGAGGGCAGGACAGGTCTGTGGGCCACTTCTGAAGCTGTTTGCATAGTAATCACACTTTATTCTCTTTAGACTGATTCTTTTAAAAAGTATATATGTGGGAGAGAGAGAACTAAAGCTTCTCCCACACTCACTCAGGCCATCCCTTGGGTGCTGCCCCTGATACAGACCCTTTTTTCTATTTTTTTCCTATCCGTTTTCATTGCTTATTAATCTTTCTTTTCAGGTCATATTGGCTTGAAGCTTCAGGCCCTCCTCATCTTTTAAAAAAAGCCATACACTATCATTTTATTATTTCTCCATCTTAATTCTAGTCTTCCAGCTCTCTAGGGGGATAGAGCAGGGACGCATTCTGTGTGTGTATGTTATGGTATTGGTGGTGGAAGTGTGGGAATCAGATTTAAGGGACCAGCATCCTTGGTAGGCGGTCAAAGGTGGTCTACAGGATATGGAAGGGGAGGGATGGGCAGTTGTGATGAAAGGAGAGGGGGATAGTTTGAGTGTAAGACCATGTATAAAAGCTTTAGTTTTGTCACTGGCATAGCTGTCTTTCCATTCTTCCTCAAGACTAGGATAGACAGAAGATCTTCCATCTTCACTCACTTATATTAGGGGTGAGACTCAATGGTTTATTACACTTTTCAGCTCTCATGTAAAAAAAAAGGCTCATTACAAAACTGAAGAGTAAGATTGCAGACAGAGAAGCTCTGTTTTTAGTTTTAATCGATTCTGGGTTGTTTGGGGCCCTTTTGAGAACCCAGTCTAGAAGGCAACCCAATGAGAATGGTGAAGTGGCTTTTTAGGTCAGACAGACTTAGGTTTAAATTCTGACTACCTGGTTACTAGCAAGCTGTAAGACCTTGGACAAGTTACTTGACTCTTGAAATTTAGATTCTTTATCTATAAGGGTAACATTATTGTGTTATTGTCTTACATAAAACGTATAACATGTTGCCTTAGGTGTGGTAGATAGCCAAGTGATGTCTGTTTTTCTTACCCACTTTTCTTATTTTTAAGTAGAATCCCAGCTTTAGTTCTAAGCAATTGTGTGATTCACCCTTTCCAAGCTTCAGTTCCTTTCTTAAAAATGAGGGCATTTAACTAGTTGATATCTGAGATCCTTCCCAGCTGTAAGATGTCATAGGAATTTTTAGACTGTTGAGGGATGTATAGATCTGTTAATTTAAGGAAAGACAATGTAGTCTGTTCTGAGACCATATCATCTGATAGGAAAGGGGAAGTCTCTTGGAGCCAACTCCGCCTCTCCCCTGGGAAAGAGATAGCCAGCTTTCTTCAGAGTCAGCAGAGTCAGATTCTGCCTTGTCTCTTTTCTGACACTGCACTGTATATGATGGTCTTTGGGACAGGGCTTTGGTTCAGCTTGCCCAGTCTTGGTGTGATTCATGTTTTACCTATCTCTTTCTTCCTGTTTCTATTTTGTCTAGGTCAAGAGGCAACTGCCATTGAAAGATAGTGAGTGACTGTTTCCAGGACAACAACCATTGAGGGGAGCAGCCAGAAGCATTGACTGAAAGCTTAAATTACCTAAATGGTAAGTAGGTTGTGCAGTGAAACCTGGCCACACTGATAGAATTGGGTAATTTATGAAGTCTGCAATTTTTCCACCATTATGAGAGAGCGAGGAAAGTCAGTATTTGTTTATAACCATTATGAACCATATACTATGCTAAGTACTTCACAGGGTTTCTCATCTAATCAATTAGCCGGTCTAATGGAGGAAAATCTTTGCATGAAGTTGACAGTCTTTAAATAGGCCCAGCTACCATTTATTGAATACTTATTAAATGCCAGGCCCAGTCTATTTGACATACATTATGTCCCTATGAGGTGAGTGCTGTTATCATCACCATGAGGAAACGAGCTGAGAGAGGTTAAATAACTTCTCCACATTCACACAGGTAGAAAATGGTAGGACTAGATTCCAAACCTGGCTTCTTTTCATTATACTCTAACGTCTCTTGAGAAAGTTACTTTTTGGTTGAGGCTGTGACTGACTTTACCTTTAAAAAGCAAAGCGGAATAAACAAAAACAAAAAAATTTTCGATTGATAACTAGTTCCTTTTCCTAGGGTTCTGTGTTCAGTATTTCATTGGTTGATGTTGACCAAGAAAGTGGAGAGTAGTAATGAAATAAAATAAACTTGAGCTGTGAGTGCCCAGAGGGCCTCAGATATATGGGAAGAGCTTTGGAGTGCATTTTATTCTAAGCAAGATGGGAGCCACTGGAGAGTAGGGAACAGTGGTCTTGGTTGCCACGTAGCTGGGTAATAGAGAAAAGTTCTCTGGAAAGATAGAGCAACAGGGCAGTCAGAGATAGTGTCTGGGAACTGGGTTCTAGGCATAGGAATGACTGCACATGGAAAGGAATCTTAGCGAGACCTTTCACTCTCATGATAACCCTTACTGCGAAACAGGCATAGTCACGGATAGTATGGAACTTTTCTTGAGGGAGTGGGGAAACTTTTGGGCAAATTCTTGTCCTGTTAATTGGTTCAGGATTCTTGTTCTATTCTCTCCCTGGAGCATTTTTCCTACCTCAGGGAATTGGGTTATGAAATTAATTTCTGGTTGGATGGAGTGACAGTCAGGATTCATTTGTTCATTGATCTTTCTGACCAGACGCCAGGGATCGAGCCTGCAACCGAGGTACATGCCCTTGACCGGTATTGAATCCATAACCCTTCAGTCTGTGGGCCAATGCTCTCACCACTGAGAACAGGCCAGGGCAAGGCAATTCATTTTTGAAGATTCCTAGCCTGGAGAATCAGGAATGCACTATAAAGATAATGTGTCCCTGAGTACTGAAATTAGTTATTTAACATTTTCTCATGTGGTCCTAAGACAAAGGACATTTTGGGCTGGCTTCATACAGGTATTGTACCAGGTGTACCGGTTAATAATGTGGATTTTGTAATCAAAGAGAACATGATAATTTCAAGAGAAACATCAAAAGTGCTTTATTCAAAGTAATGTCCATTGCTAGCTACACATTTCCCCCATCTTTCAGGTAATTCGTGGATACCGTCCCAGTAGAACTTTCCTTGTTTTGAGGCAAACCATTCAGAGACCCAATTTTCCACTTCTTTGTACGTTTGAAGTTCTGCTCAGAAAGCGCATGGGCCATCAATCGGAACAAGTGGTAATCTGAAGGAGCAAGGTCTGGTGAATACTGCAGATGGGTTAATACTTTCCAGGCAAGATCTTTTAACGTGTCTTTAACTGGTTTTGAAGTGTGTGATGGTGCGTTATCATGAAGCAAAACTACTTTGCCGTGTCTTCTGGCCCATTCTGGTCATTTTACGATCAAAGCGTGGTTCAAATTGATTATTTGTTGTCAGTAGCGATCAGTATTAACGGTTTCACCTCGTTTTAGAAGCTCATAATATACCACACCTTCCTGATCCCACCAAATGCAGAGCATTCTCTTCTTTCTGAAGCGATTTGGCCTTGCTGTCGATGTGATGGTTGACCTCGATCAACCCATGATTTTGTGCATTTGGGATTCTCAAAATAAATTCACTTTTCATCGCCAGTCACAATTGGATGCAAAAAAGACTTTCTTTTGTGCCGTTGAAGCAACATTTTACTGATGACTTTTCGGTTTTCCACTTGTCTTCTGTTCAGTTGATGTGGCACCCATTTCCCTTCCTTTAAAATGTTTTCCATTGCTTGTAAATGATCAGAAATTGTTTGCTGAGCAACGTTTAATCTTTCTGCAAGTTGTTTTTGAGTTTGACATGCATCTTCATCCAATAATGCTTGTAATTGTTGGTCTTCATACTTTTTCGGTTGACCTGACGTTCTTTGTCTTTCACATAGAAATCATCACTTTTAAAGCGTTTAAACCAGCGTTCACAAGTATCTTGAGATGGAGCATGTTCACCATAAGCTTCCCGAAGTATACGATAACTTTCATCAGCACTTTTCTTCAAAATAATGAGTTAAAACTGCCCGCAAATGCTCTTTTTTGGGCACAAAATTCGACATTTTTAAGTGTGAAAATATCTGATGTTAACACTTTCAGAAAATTTGACATAAAGTTTTGAAGCCTGAGGTCAATACTAACAAAATAGCATGCATATCAAATCGCATATATATCAACATATGTGTAACTCCATCAATTGAAAAAAATCTGCATTATTAACCAGTACACCTGGTACAAGTACCAATTAATGGATCAGTGTTTATCTAGACAGGCTGTTGTGTAGTGCCATTCTGGAGGGCTGTTCTTGGTTATATTTTGTCTAACAATTTGAACATCAATTTGGATGAAGATATTGAAAAGACATGCCTATCAGATTTATAAATAGTCAATGCTTGAAAGTTGGAAGGTGTAGAAAATAGACAGTTGAAACTATTGATTGGAACTAATTTTCAAGTTGAAATACAAAATATAGTAAATAATTTAAGCTTAAATTTACATGGCACTTAAGATGGACCAGATATTAGTCTAAGCACTTCATGTATTAACTCATTTCCACTTACAGTTACCCTTTACGGTAGGTATTAAAACAGAAGCCAAGTAACTTATCCAAGGTTATACAGCTTGTAAGTGGCAAATCAGGTCTTAAACTTAGGCTTCTGGCTTCACACTATGTAATCTTTAATGAGTGCACCATATTGCCTGCAAAAGAAATAAGAATTAAGCCCCATATTCAGGCTATTAAAATTAATTAGGTTTAATTATAGTTTATTTGGGAAAAAATTCAGTATGAACCTACAAACTGGTAATAAAGCTGCCAGATTAGCTCGTGCAGTCTTGGGCCTCATTATTAAAACTGGATCGACGAGGTCATCTTTCAAATCCACCCTCACCCCTTTATCACCCCTTTACTCCATCTCTTGCCTTGACTGTTTCAATAGAACCCTAGTTTATCCTGCTGAATGTTCATCCAAAAATGCAATTCTGATTTTGTTACTCTCTTGCTTAAATCCCTTTGTCTAAGACAAGTTGCAAATTTGCTTACTTTATCCACTTGCAAGCATATCAGTGTATTTTGAAGGGTCTATACCAGCCGTGGGCAAACTACGGCCCGCGGGCCGGATCCGGCCCGTTGGAAATGAATAAAACTATTGAAAAAAAAGACCGTACCCTTTTATGTAATGATGTTTACTTTGAATTTATATTAGTTCACACAAACACTCCATCCATGCTTTTGTTCCGGCCCTCCGGTCCAGTTTCAGAACCCATTGTGACCCTCGAGTCAAAAAGTTTGCCCACCCCTGGTACAGTGGTGTTCTTTTTATTTCCTTTAAAAATTTTTTGAATTAAATATATTTCCCTCTTAGCCTTCATCCTACCAGGCTGTCACTCACAGTATTGGCCATATCTCTTTGGCATTTGCATTTGCAACCTTTGGCATGAAGGTTAATTTTCTTTCGTAGAATATAGTTGCCTGGATATGAAAACAATTTGTTAGATGTCGTTTAGCCATTACAGAATACTGTGAGATTGTTGCCTTCATTTACTTACCAAACATTGATAAGGTTCTCAACCTTGCCCCACATGACAGTATTCAGTGCCCAGGACAGAAAAATAAAGATGGCATTGTCCCTGCTCTCGTAGCTCAGAGCCCAGTAGAGGAATACAAACATGAAAGCAAGTATCATGGATACTCTGATAGAAGTATCTACAGAATTTAGGGTGGTGCATTTTGGTTGGGGGAGGGGTTGTTTGTAAAGGTTTTGCAGTGAAAGATATTCTCCATCAGAATGGGGCAGGGGAGGTTGGAAGGAAGAGGAGAGGGGAGGAAGGCAATGGTAAACTCGTTCCTCAAACATTAACACCTTAGCCTCTGTACTTGCTGTGAGTTTTCAAGGGCTTCTGTGTTGCACCCTGTCTACACTCCAACCTGTGTTACTTGCTCTGCTTTTCCTTTTGTGCCTCTCATATAAGTCCTGCTGAATTACTTAAAGTACCATAGATGCAGCATTGTTTTGTTCCCTTTCTCCCTCCCTCCCTGTAAATAATTATTTTATACCCTTATGTGCCAGATCCTGTTGAAAATGCTGGAGAGACAGCAGTATGAAACAGCTGTAAACATAAAAAAATGATGTTCCTGACATGAGTCTGACATTCTTGTAAAGAGAGATAGTAAACCAGTTCACAAGTAATCAAGTGTTAAATGTGCTAAAAAAATAAGTAGGATATCTTCCCTTAGAGCTGTCCAAAGATGGAATGAGTTGCCTTGGGGGGAATGAGTGCCTTTTTAAAAAATCCCCACCAGAGGATATTTTTTGTTTTTTAATTGCTTTTTAGAGAGAAAGAAAGGGAGGGAGAGAGAGAGAGAAATATAGATGTGAGAGAAATTTTTATTCGTTGTCTCCTGTACACTCCCCAACCCGGGATTGAACAGGCATCCTAGGTATGTGCCCTGGCTGAGAATCAAACCTGCAACCTTTTTTTTTTCTTTTCAATTTTTTATATTTTTTTAATTAAGTTTTTAGAGAGAGAAGAAGGGAGAGGGGGAGGGGTGGGGGGGGGAAAGAAACATCTATGTGAGAAACATTGATTGGTTGCCTCCTATGTTCTTCCTGACTGGTGATCAAACCCACAACCTGGGTATGTGCCCTGACTGGGAATCAGACCTGCAACCCTTCATTACATGGGATGATGCTCCAATCAACTGAACCACAGTGGCCAGGGCTGAATCTGCAACCTTTTAGTGTACAGGACAATGATCCAACCATTGAGCCACCCGGCCCGGGCGAATGTCCTTCTTGTCATTAAGGGTGTTTGAGGAGAAGTTGAATGACTGCTTCCGTGACAACTGTTCTGTGGAGTGGGAAGTGAGATTCAGATGCTCCTTCCAACCTGGAGAATCTCTACATACTGGTTGTGTTACTAACTCTGAGGTTTGCATATCTAAAATACATGAATTACAGGTCATTAGAAAAGGTCATGAGGAAGCTGCTTAAAAACAGTTCTCCCATTTTCTTTTAGATCAGGGGTTGGCAAACTGTGGTCCACAGGCCCACTGCCTGTTTTTGTAAATAAAGTTTAATTGAAACATAGCCATGTCATTTTGCTTTATAAAACATAAAAAACCATGTTCCTGACATGATAAGAGTTGAGTAGTTGGGACAGAGACCTTAGGTGTTATAAAGCCTGAAATATTTACTAAAATCAAGTTGTATATTTATATGAATACTGTCAAACTTTAAAGTAAATGTACCAGCCCCCTACTTTAAATGCTTTTGGGAACAGGAAGTGAATCATGGCAGCTGTGTTGGGGAAAAGGGTAGGGCAAGTTTGGTTATGTTCTATTTTAGACCTTCTTGGCCCACCAATGACAAGAAGAGCTAGCCTCCAAAATGCTGGATAGGGATACTTGGAACTGGATTCGAGAACTTTGGCAGAAAGGAGCCCCGAATGAGACATAATTTGGTGTTGTATCTTTCCAGTATGAATTGGAACTGAGCTAGACATTGGAGTGTGTTGGGTGTGGTAGTGGGCAGGGGAAAGGGAGGAGTTGGCATTAAAATATGGGACTACCCTTCCTTTACTTCACTTTCCTCTTATTTCTGAGGTTTACCTAAAAAATTTCCTTCCCAGACCCCATCCTCAGACACAATCATTTCTTCTGAGCAGTAAGATGCACTAAGGCAGTGGTTCTCAACTTGTGGGTTGTGACCCCTTTGGCGGTCAAACGACCCTTTCACAGGGGTCGCCTAAGACCATCCTGCATATCAGATATTTACATTACGATTCATAACAGTAGCTACATTACAGTTATGAAGTAGCAACAAAAATAATTTTATGGTTGGGTCACAACATGAGGAACTGTATTTAAAGGACCAGAAGGTTGAGAACCACTGCACTAAGGGAAAACAGCATGGTAAGAGAAGAGGGATCCAAGGGGTGGGTGCTGTATTAGGCAAGATGGTCAGGGAGGCTTCTTTATTTTCCTATATAATAAAGAGCTAATATGCTAATTAGACTGAACAGCAGAACAACCATCGGACGACCTTCCGGATGAAGCTGGGGTACGAGGGCCAAGCTCCTTGCACGAATTTCGTGCATTGGGCCTCTAGTTGTTTTATAATTGGTTCTACCTTTCTGATTTCTTAAAGGCAGGTTTAGATTTTAAGGATGGCTCTAGCATTTGGATGGGTGCACGAGATGTCTACTGAATGAACGAATTTTACCTGGATAAATATACTTATGGGGAATGTGGCAGGCACTTTATGGATG